CTCCAGAGCATGTAAATAGCAGTGGCAGAGCCGGGATCTGGATGTGCTCAGTGCTGTCAGGTCCTGTGGGAGAGGAGACAGGGTGTGACCCCCAGTGGACAGGGCCTGGCGCCAGGTAGTGTTGTTTGTATGACTGGATCTGCTTACAGGTGAGAGAACAAACTCCGAACAGCCAATTGCCTGGGAATGTGCACAGACAATGGCAGAACCAGCCCAGGAGCTGGTCAAGTGTCCCCTTTCCTGCAGCAGCTGGTGGCGGTGGTTTGCTTAGCAGTTTAGTGGAAGGCACAGGGGCACCCCTTGCCCCATCCTGGTGGGGTGTCAGTCTGGCCTCCAGAGGAGTCCAAGGTGGGCACCCTAAATTTGCCCGAAACTGCTTCTTGATATGGTGACTACTTGTCAGTGTCAGAACAGGGCTGCCATTTCCTTCTAGAATGTTCCCATGCATCTTGGCTAGGAAGAGAAGGAGACAGAGCGTTCATCCCCATCCTAAGGGAAGAGCACAGAGGAAGTGCCTCACTTCCGGGGCTGGACCTGAGCACATCCTGTCCCCAGGTGCCAGCCTTGGCTTTCACCAGACACCTGGCAGGCAGTCTGAGGGATTTCTTAGGGTCAGCTTGCTGCCTTGGAGAGGGAAGTTGGCATTTAGGGGTGGTATGGGAGGATGGGGGTGGACATTCGAGCTTTTCTGGGACCACGCTTAGAGAAAGAACTCAGCAGAAAGTAGTTTTGGGTAATTTTACTCTATGGGTCATCTGTAAGTATCAAAAGGCCATCTGCCTCACTGTGGTTGGATGGAAGACCTGCAGCCCCTGGGAGGGCTTCCTGGCTGGCTCACCTCTCAGAGGATCCCTCTCAAGGACCCCTGGAACTTGGGCGGCTTGTTTCTGCTTTGTTGCCTCCAGGGTTGCAACAGTCACCCCTGTCCTGTCCAGGCAGCCCTTTCCCGCCTGACAGCCCTGTGGGGTTCAGTGTCTTCCTTGGTTGGCCTCACTTAGCCTCTGGTCAGTGCTAAGGTCTGAGATCTGGATTTACCCGACAGCCTTGCCCCTGTGGTGGGTGGAAGGTGTTCTCACCATGTGTCTCCAGCCCCATGGGACTGGACGGTGGCCTGGCCTTCACTCTTCTGACTGTCCTGAGCTCCTCTCCACACCCACAGTGTCCCCTTAGGCTGAGAGAGGACCCCTTGGTCAGGAATTCGTGGTAGGTGAGCTCCTCTGTGTGCCTGGGGTCTGCCTGCCTTGCAGCCTGGCTCCTTCCTTCTGCTTTGCATTGCAAAAGACAGGACAGTTTTCTCCTTTTTTAAGAGTCTTGCTGCATAGGTCAGATTGCCCCAAAACTCACTGTGTTGCCCAGGCTGGTCTTGAACTTGCAGCGGTCCTCTTGTCTCAGCCTCCTGAGTGCTGGGATCACAGGTGTGCGCCATCACGCTTGGCAGTGTTCTCCTTTGCAGTGTTCTGGACCCCCCACCCCAGCCTGTCTTCTGTCTGTCCCCCTATCCTGTGTCCAGGCCACTTTTACCATGAAGAGCACCTCCTCATCCTGGCTTCTGTGTTTCTGGAACACGTCGTGTCTACTCCTTAGATGTCCACCTCACCCCTCTCAGGGCTTGAGGAAGCCCATACTGTCTACCTCAGGCTCTGGCTAGAGGGCAGGGGGCTCAGCCTAGTCAGTAGCCTGGTACCCGAGTCTCCTGGTTTTCTCACTCCGTTAAAATTTCCTGTTTCAGTCTGCAGTGGGTCCCTGAGAGCTACCTCCAGGGTGGGATTGCAACTGTAAATACATCTGGGGAAGGGATCCTGTCCCCAGGGGCAGCAGGTAGCCCTCCTGAGCATGCTCTATGGCCTTCAGCTTGGCTTACAGCCATGAGTTAGCCATCCCAAGGCCCAAAGTCCTCTGTCTACACCCATGGGGTCATCGAGATCAAGTGTGTGCAGTGCCACGGGTTTTGAGAAGATCCATTTGCTTTGAGGCTGGAGTCACATAGATGTGTCTGGCTAAGAAATGAATTTCTAGCTGGGTGTGGTGGCACAGGCCTGTGATCCCAGCACTGGGGAGGCTGAGGCAGTGCTTAGGTCACAAGACCCCATGGTATAAGAAGGACTCCACTGGGCTTCTTTTTTTTTTTTTTGGTACTGGGGATCGAACTCGGGACCTTGCACTTGGGAGGCAGGCGGCAGAACCACTGAGCTAAATCTCTGGCCCTCCACTGGGCTTCTTACATGATTATTTGAGATGGGCTCACACTGTGCTGTCCAGGCTTGTCTCGCTCTCCTGGACTCAAGAGATCCTTTTGCTAGATGGGTGTGGTAGTGCACACCTGTAATCTCAGCACTGGGAGGCTGAGGCAGGAGGATCACAAGTTCGAGGCCAGCCTGTGTTACATAGTGAATTTAAGGCCACCTTGAACTATATAGTGAGACCCTGTCTCAAAACAAAACAACAAAAACAAAAACAATCTCTAGGAGCCAGGACTTAAGCTTTATTTCCCAGTGTCCGAGGAGTCTTAGACTAGAACTGATGACTGTAGGTTTGCATACCTCCTGCCTCTAGTTCAGAGTTTGAGTCTTGCCGGCACTCAGGTTATTGAATAGCAGCCTTTGTGATTTAAGGTGACTGGGCCATATGTCAGGCCAGGATTCTTTGTGGTCCAGAGTTGCCTGTCCAGAACAAATAACAAAGTGCTGATTGAAAACGATTACTGTGTCGAGTTCCCAGAGGGAGTAAGCTCCCTGCAGATTGTCCTTGTGACTTGAGTCTGAGGGTGAGCAGTGTTTCTGGTAACCCCATAGACTGGGGTCAGTTGTAGCCAGTTTCTAGCTGAGATCATGACAGAAAATAGTTGGGTCAGAGTTTTACTTGGCTGGGTATTTATTGGTAGGTGTTGGCAGTCATAGTCACTTGTCCCTCCCCTCCTTGGTGAGTCCTGTCCTGGTCCTGATCTGTTGGTTTCTGAGCTTGTCCTCTTGTAGCCCCGAATGCCACTGTAGGCTCCTTTACACAGAGACTCCTTTTGGTAGCTTCCTGTCCATCACTGGGGTAGAACCAGGCACTGTGTATTTTTTTGTTCTTGTTTGTTTGTTTTTTTGGTACCAGGGATCAAACTTGGGACTTTGTCGGCACCACTGAGCTAAATCCCTGGCCTGTTTGTTTTTTGAAACAGGGTCTTTTTAGTTATTTATTTATTATTTTATTTTTTTTGAAACAGGGTCTTGCTATGTAGTTCAAGCTGGCCTTGAACTCACTGTATAGCCCAGACTGGCCTCAAAGTAGTGATTCTTCTGGCTCAGCCTCCTGAGTGCTGGGTTACAGGTGTTCACCACCACGCGCCGTCAAGCAGTGTCTTGCTGGGGCCTTGGGGCGTCCTGGGATGGCCTGGCGGGGGGAAGTTGCTGGGTCTTGGGGCTCCCGTTCGAAGTCTGCTACCCCACACTCTCCAGAGCCCTTACTTCCAGCTCAGTTTCTGTGCCCCACCCCTCCTTGCACCCGGCACAGCCTGGTTTGGCCTCACGGTGGGCTGACCAGACCAAGCCGTCTGGGGAGCATGTGGCTTGCCCTGCCCCCAGAGGTGCGGAGCTGGCTTGTGCTTGTCATTTGGCTCCGGGGACAGGAAGGCTTCCCTGGGCACTGATTAGTTATTCCTTTGCTGGCATCTGAAGGGGTGGGGTGCAGGTGGTCTGGCTTGACCTCTTGAGGGGACCTCAGACTTTGGCTGAGTAGCTTGTGGAGGTAGCAGGGAAGCCTGTGTCCCTCTGTCCTGGAGGAAGTCCCTGTCTACCTGCTGTGTGTGTAGAGTTGTGCCCCCCGCTGGGCTGACAGGCACAGCAGCAGCAGGCAGCGTGGCTCTGAGTATATATCTTGGTTTCTTTTTTTTTTCTTTGTTTTTTTGGTTTCAAGGTCTCACTGTGTAGTTCAGGCTGCCCTTGAACTCACTATGTATTCCAGGCTGGCCTGGGGCTTGATAATCCTCCTGCCTCAGCCTCCCAAATGCTGGAATTACAGGCATGTGCCATCACGCCCGGGTCTATCTTGGTTTCTTCTCACACTCAGGCCCTATGGTTCAGCCCTGCTCTGAGTCCTGTCCGAGTTTGGCCCTATGCCGTCCCATGATCCTCGGTGTGTGGTCCATGGTGTCTGTCTTCACTCCGTGCTGCGGAGCCTGTTGTATGTCTGTCCTAATCCCTCCTGTTCAGACCCTGCCTGGGGCCTTTCCTCAGGACCACAGCCGTTGATGACACACCATATACCCAGTTTTGAGGGGACTCATGTTCATTTTACGAGTGGCTCATGCAACCTTATTTTCTGCTTGTAAACTTGTTTTTGTGCAGAAACTCACACAGAATTAGGTTTATAAAAGTGTTCCACTTGAACAACTTCAAGGACCCTTGTTTGAAGCCAGCTGTGGTGACACATCTGTAATCTCCACACTCTTAAGGGGCTGAGGCAGGAGGATCGCAGAGTTTAGACCCAGCCTAGGCAATTTAGCGACTTAGTGAGACCCTGTCTCAAAATAGAAAATAAATTGAGGGGGTATAGCTTGGTGGGAAGGCCCTGGGATGAATCCCTAGTACTGGTGGGGGATCCTTGTTCACGATAATAAAGATATGAATCTTGGACTTTTGGCTTATAGGTTTGGTTAAAAAAAACAAAAAACTAACTTCATTTCATTCTACAGTTCTTCAGTCTACAGAAGTGGAGGTCTTTTTATTCAAATTATCAGGTTTTTTCCCTATGATTGCTTCCATTACTTATGGAAACTTTAGCTTCTAAGGATTCACAGGCATGGTACTCCCTGATGCTGGGGTTGTTGGAGATAGTTGGAGAAGTTAAAATGAACTAGGTCACTGAGTCCCCTCCCGCTTTGTGACCTGACAGCCTCATTTTCTGACAGTGCCAGCCATGCCATCCTGTGGTTTATGTTTTGTAGGCTGGGAGGGGCCAGGTGAACGCCGTGCCCCTGGTTGTGGAGAGTGCCCCCCTCATATTGCTTTTCCTTCTAGCTCTTGCCAGCCCTGTTGCAGACCTGAGAAAATGCTCCGGAGGCTCGGGGGTGCTGTGTCAGGACCTCAAGACAGCGGCTGACTGTGGGGCGGTGCGGCACTGCCGGCAGACCGTGTGGAGCAAGCCCAGGGTGGTAAGCCCAGCTGCTTCTGAGCCCGTCTCTGTGCTCCTTATAGTCCCTTGCGTGGCAGGCATGCCTGTTCCACCACCCAGGACGCTTGGTACTGGTGGCAGAGTTAGGATGAGGTCATCCATGCCCTACCTTCCTGGCCAGTCTGCGGGTCCCACTCCCACGAGTTTGATAGCCTTCCTCACTCCTCCCAAATAGGCAGAACACTGATAGAGGCCCTAGTGCTCAGGAGCTAGTGACAGTTTTTTTTTCCCCCTTGGTACCGGGGATTGAACTCAGGACCTTGTGCTTGCCAGGCAGGTACGGTGCTGCTGAGCTACATCCCTGGCCCCTAGTGACATTTTTTTTTTGGTTTTGTGTTTTGAGGCAGGGTCTCGATATGTAGCTCAGGCTGGCCTTGAATTCCCAGCAATCCTCCTGCCTCAGCCTCCCCAGTGCTGGGAGTACAGATAGCTGTGCACCACTACAGCTGGCTCTTTATTGATGGTTTCCATCTGTAAGCACACTGGGGAAGATACCACTGGTTTTTCATCTGATGATGTTAATTACACTGTGATAACGAGGTCTTGGAAACAGCGCGTGTTCCCAGTGCATCCTGAACCCCTTGACCCAAGCTCTGCCGACCCCAGCAGGACGCAGATCTGCTCCTGGCTCAGTCTGGGCTGTGACTGAGTGCAGTTTAAATTCAGAGTTTGTGCACCTTCAGTAAGAGAAGAAAACTTGATTAAACAATGCTGTTCTTTCAGCAAATAGTTTCTAAATTACTGGAAAATTGCCTTCTGGGGCCATAACTGCTTTCAGATTTGGTTTCTAATTTGCATTCAGTCTTGTTTTGAACACTGATTCCCTTTTCTAAGTTGAATGTATACTGCGTGAGTATATGAGGCCTTCCCCCTTTTTTGGTTTTTTGAAGACAGGGTCTCACTTTGTAGTTCAGGCAAGCCCTGAACTCTGTGTAGCCCTGGCTGGCCTGGAACTCACGGTGATTCTCCTGCCTCAGCCTCACAAGTTCTGGGATTACAGGCATGTACCACCACATCTGTCTTTTTTGTTTTTTTGTTTTTGTTTTTTTGGTACCGGGGATCGAACTCCGGTCCTTGCGCTTATGAGGCAGGCAGCGGAACCACTGAGCTAAATCCCCAGTCCTGTTTTTGTTTTTTTTTTGAGACAGGGTCTCACTATGTATTCCAGGCTGGCCTTATGATCCTCCTGCTTCAGCCTCCTGAGTGCCGGGTTACAGGCGTGTTCCACCAGGCCTGGCTTGACTTTCTTGACTGGTCTCATGGTTCAAGCTTGCTCTTGTTATGGATGGCCCCACACAGTAGCGCCTGGCTAGGTCTAAAGGTTCCATTTGGTTTCCCTGCTGCCACCAGCTTCACAGGCATCCTGGCCTCATCCCGATAGGCTCACCCCTCCTGCAAGGGCGGAAGTCTGTTGACACCGAGAAGGGAGCCTGTGCATGCCTGCTCAAGCACTGCAAGCCCCAACAAGTTTCCAGGGCTCCTGCCGCAGGTGGCACCCAGCCTTGCCTGGAGGCTGGCTTTCGCGAGTGTCCCCAGTGTGCACACAACACTGCCTGGGAGCAGGGAGTAGACCGAGGAGGCCAGCGGCTATCTGACCCTCACTCCCTGAGCCACCCGCTAGGACCTGTGAGATAAATTCATCGAGATGCCTTTCTGAGCTGTTCCCTCAGCCCCTGCAGGCGGCCTGGAGCCTGACTTGTGCACTCCACAGGGGACAGGAAGGGGCCATCTGTTTGGCAGAGTCACACCTGCCCTCCCCATGGTGTCCGTAGTGTCTGCACACTCCTCACAGAGGTGGGCGCCAGCATGGAGGGTGGGCCTGACCATGACCCCTGCCCTGGGAGGATGAGAGTGGGGAAGGGCTCGGGGTCTGCGGCTGTGCGGGGTGTGGTGGTGTCCCACAAGCACAGATCCTGTCTCTGTTTCCTCTTAGAAGTCCCTCCCGTGCGACATATGCAAACAGGTCATCACTGCGGCTGGCGACATGCTAAAGGACAACGGCACTGAGGTGAGCTGCTGGCCTGGTTGCCATGGGCCCGGCCCAGGTGCCTTGGTTCCGGGAGAGCTCTGACTCAGGCCAAGAGATGCGGCCAGGCCAGGGCTGCAGACATCTGCACTGCCAGGAGCCGTCTTAGACCCCACGGGCCCCGTGCTGTCTGCATCACGTGGCTTTTTAGGAAGTATTGTTCGCCCTAGGCTGTACAAAAATCAGTGGAAGGGACTAATCTCCTGACCTCTGGACCAAATATGAAACACTCAAGGTTAATTGGGATTTTACATGGCATGCTATTAACATGTAGAAATGTGTGGCTGTCACTTTTGCCTTCTCTGCTCAGAATTCCTTTCATCTGTGAGGCCACAAGTCAGAGGGTCATTTTGAATTTTAATGTCTTTTTGCTGGTGGAGACCTGCGTTGTCAGAGCTCTACTGTCTTTAAAAAATTTTTGAGAGAGGGTAAGTTGCCCACGCTGGCCTGGAACTTGCCATCCTCCTGCCTCAGCCACCCAGGTGGATGGGGTTTCGAATGTGTGGCACCCTGCCTGGCTCTCTGCTGTCCTTTTCCCTTAGGGCTGGCTCTTTTGTGGGCTTCTGCCTTCTGGGAGTTGCAGAGGGCCCCCTGCCCTCAGCCCCCACAGGGAGGAAGCCCTTCCTGTTCTGATCCTTCCTTGTGTCCCCCGGTGTCCCCTGCAGGAGGAGATCCTCTCTAACCTGGAGAAGGTTTGTGACTGGCTCCCGAACCCCAACCTGTCCACCTCCTGCAAGGAGGTGGTGGACTCCTACCTGCCTGTCATCCTGGACATGATTAAAGGGGAAGCGGTAGGTGATGGGGAGTGGGCTCTTCTCCAGGGCACTTCTAGGGTCCCAGAGGTCACCATCCCCGGGATGGTTGGAAGTGGAATGTTCACGGTTTCCAGGTTCTGCACTCCTCATGCGCTCTGCCGTTGAGGGCTGCTATGGTGGGCAGGGTCACTGGTACAGGGAGCATTGCTGAAGGACTATCAGTCCCTGCGGTGTTCATAGATGCCAGTTGGGTGACTCATGTACTGAGCCCCAGGGAGGAGACAGTGACAAGCAAGTGGCTCCACTTCTGTGAGTCCTGTGAATCACAGTTCCAGGGTCATTTAGGGAGTGAGTGTGGGGTGAGTTGTAGGGGCGCCTGTCTTCCAGTGCGGTGTTGATGTGCTGAGTATGCCAGGCCATCTGCCGTGGGCCAAGCACTAATTTGGAGTGGCCTGGGGAGGAGAGGTGTGGTGTGTAAGCAGCACTGGGGCAGGTTGGGCACGCGTGTCCGGGACAGGACTGAGGTGCTGGTGAGAGGCCTGTGAGGCCGTGTTCAAGGGCCGTGCACCCTGTAGAGGTGACAAGGAGCGGGGCAACGGGCCTCAGGTACACTTTCGAAGGGGATCCCTTAGCTCCTGAGGCTGTGCCACAGGGGACACAGAGGACACCCCAGAGGTTATGGCCCTGCGAGGAGACACAGGGACGGGGAGATGGACAGGCGGATATTCCGCTGTGGATGACAGGCGGGAGAAGCATTGGGATGTCGTCTGGTCTCAGGAAAGGTAGCAGCAGAGCCGTTTGCTGAAGTGGAGATGGAGGGGACGGTTGGGCTGGAGCAGGGGAGGCATTTGAAACCAGTGGAGTGCATGGGCTCCTGGGGCCGTGGCTTAGAGTCCTGGACTCTGCCCTCCTCTGTGCTCCTTTCCTTGAAGGAAGAGCTTGTGTTAAGCCTGGAGGCTGCTGTGTGGTTGGACACCTAGGTGTTAATTTTCCTGTGCTACCCAGATAGAGTGAGCAGTTTGAACTTGTATAACAAAGTTGTTGTGCTTACTTTGTTTTCTTTTTGCAGTACTGGGGATGGAATCCAGGGCCTCTGACATGCTAGGCAAGGGCTCTTCCACTGAGCCACACCCCCAGCCATTTTTATTTTGAGACAAGAGCTCACTAAGTCATTCAGGCAGGCCTTGATCTTGTGACCCTACTGCCTCAGCCTCCCAAGTAGTTAGGATTACCAGCATGCACGACTAGCTGTTTCTTTTTAAGGGTTTGAGAGAGGCTGATTGACAGGCATAAGGTGGCCTGTTCTGTATGCCTATGGGCAGAGGACTCAGCCGGGTCTTTCTTCTCCAGAGCAATCCTGGCGAGGTGTGCGCCGCCCTTAGCCTCTGCGAGTCTCTTCAGAGGCACTTGGCGGAGCTGAACCGCCAGAAGCAGCTCGAGGCCAACAGGATCCCGGAAGCCGACCTGCCTGAGGTGGTGGCGCCCTTCATGGCCAACATCCCTCTCCTCCTGTACCCTCAGGACGGACCCCGAAGCCAGCCCCAGGCCCAGCCAAAGGTGAGGGCCCTGGTGGTGTAGGAGGGAGCCGGGTGAGGTGGGATGGTGGTGAGGTTGGGTGCGTGCAGTCCTGTGCTTCTGGAACCAAGGGGTCCCTGTGCCCGACTCTGCAGGTACAGGACTGCCTTTGGGTTCACTGAACCATGCAGCGCCCCCCCCCCCCCCGAGACAGAGTCTCGCTATATATTCCAGGTCGGCCTTGAACTCACTATGTAGCCCAGGCTGGTCTCTACTCATGGTGGTCCTCCTGCCTCAGCCTCCCATGTGCTGGGATTATAGGCGAGTGCCATCACACCCCTGTGCAGTTTCTAAAGAATGGGATACTTAAACAAAGATGTCCACCTTTTTCCTTACTCGTTTTGCTGCTGGGGTGGATCCCAGGGCTCTATGTGCTGAGCACCTGCTCCACTGCTGAGCCACCCTCCCCTGTGCAGTAGCAGGACTACAGCGAGCACCTAGAGGTTGCGGATCCTTCAGTGCTTCAGAGCCAGTGCTGCCTGCTAGCAGCTGTGCAGTCAGTCACCCCAGGGTTGACATTGGGTAGGTGGCCAGCTGGGTCCCCCTGGCTGCACTACCACCACCTAACTATACTTCCCGCAGGCCAGCGGAGATGTCTGCCAGGACTGTGTGCAGATGGTGACTGACATCCAGACCGCTGTGAGGACCAACTCCACCTTTGTCCAGGGCTTGGTGGAGCATGCCAAGGAGGAGTGTGACCGTCTGGGGCCTGGCATGGCGGACATGGTGAGCTGCATCTCCCATGCCATGGGGGTGCTGGGGGCCAGGGAGCTGGCTCTGGAGACAGGAGTGGGAGATGAAGGAAGCATCTGGTATTTCCTGTGCTGCTCCTTTTTCTTTTCTGTGACAGGGTCTCACACTGTGTAGTTCAGGCTGGCCTTGAACTCACTATGTAGCCCAGGCTGGTCTCAAACTTGCAGTGATCCTCCTGCCTCAGTCTCCCAAATGCTGGGATTATAGCATTGTGCCACCATGCCTGGCTTCTTCTATTGTGTTAAAGTCAGTCAGAGCAGACATTTATAAAACTAGGAAATTTTCTTTCATTTTTTTTAAAAAAAATTTATTTTATTATTATTATTATTATTATTATTATTATTATTATTATTTATTTATTTATTTTTGGTACCAGGGATTGAACTCTGGTCCTTGGGCTTGCGAGGCAGGTGGCAGAACCACTGAGCTAAATCCCTGGCCCCGGAAATTTTCTTGATAGTAGTTGGCACTATTGGAAATGCTGGTTTGGTTTCTTGGGTGTGCATTGTTGCAGTAATTAATTTAGCTGACAGCCTGTTTCTCTCCCCCAGTGCAAGAATTATGTCAGCCAGTATTCTGAAGTTGCCGTCCAAATGATGATGCATATGGTAGGTGGCCAGGAGCCCCAGTTAGCCTTCTGGCTCAAAATGTTGTCGTTTCTAGAAACTGAGCATTACAAGGTTTAGCTTCCCATTTCCACCTTGAGCCTACTGAATGGACCCAGACGTACCCCTCTGGCCAGCAGACTCTCCACTTGCAGTCTGGTCCCCCTCCCTGCCAAGAGGCTGAGCCTGGGTCTGTGCTGCCCTTGGCCCATGAGTCTGCACATACGTGTCCGGCTTTAAACCTGAGGCCCGCAGAAGCAGGCTGCTCTCTACACCAGGTCAGAGAACGGTGTAGCCTGAGTTCAGAGCAGAGCAGCAGAGCCCTCCCTGAGCTGCCCCTGCTCTCACTGCAGTGGCACCTGGTGCCACAGGGTGGCAGGAGGCATTGTTAGTGGTGGGAGAAGCATTGGTCCTGGGAAGGGGCCGCTTCCTCTGTGCCTGGAGCTGGTGGGCACAGCTGGCTGGTCTATGGCAACCTGACCCAGGGCAGGCATCGGTCCTGTAGGTTTGCTCTGTCTGTCACACTGGTCATCTGCATTGAGATTGACAGGCAGGCCCGAGTTTGTTCCCGGACACAGAGGTCCTCACACTGCCTGTCACCTGCTTCGTGATAGTTTTCCTGGAGCCCATGACGCCCGTCTGTGCTCCCTCAGTGCTCAGGTCCCTAGAACCCAGAGCTTGTGGCCTACAAAGCCTGCCATTTCCAGTGGATGGGTAGCCGCCCTCCCACACAGGTGTTTATTGTGGCTCTCATCTACCTCATTGTAAAAACATTGAAAGGCAGTTTATAGAGCATGCACTTGGAGTGGGGACAAGCAAGCCTTTGATGTGACTTGACCTCGTGAACTAGTGCTTCCAGCTAACTCCAATATTTTCTGTCTAACTGCAGAGTAGAAATGTTTTGAAAATAGGAATATTTCCCATATCAAAAATCACCTGGGAAGGTTCCGGGGATTTAGCTCAGTAGCACCGCGCCTGCCTCGCAAGCACGGTCCTGAGTTTGGTCCCTGGTACCAAAAACAAAACAAAACAGAAATCACTTGGGGGCTTCACAAAACATCAGTGGGGCCATATTTTACATACACTTTACAGACTGTAGTTTGCATTCAATCGATCAGTAGATATTTTTGTACAAGTGATTTTTATGTGGCTACATATTACTTCACAGTGTAGGTGGAACACTTTCTATAACCATTCCCCTGTGGCTGGAGGGTTAGATTGTTTGCAGATTTGTCCTTGGAATGATGAACGTCCCTGTAGCCAAGTATCTGCGGATGTCCTTGTTTTGAATCCGAGCTCAGTACACTATCATCTGTGTCCTATGGGGAAGGCCTGGTGGGGTGGGCCTGGCCGTGGAGACCCTTCACAGGTGGCCTCCCTGGGACCTTGGGCTGCAGTGTCCAGGGCATGATAATAGTGTGGGCTAGAGGGGTCAGTGTCAATAGTGGGAGCAAGATGGGTTGTGGGTACCACACTGCCAGGTCGTTTCCCTTAGCTTCTGTGACATCCCTACACCTGGTTAAACTGCTTGTTTTAATTCTTAACTTTTGTGTCCTTTTCCTTTGTCTTATTTTCACCTCCGATTTCCTGTTTTTTTGTTCAACAGCAGGACCAGGTATGTGATGGAGAATTTGCTTTTAGTAGTGAGTGATCCCTGCTGCATCTCCTAGTTATTTTGCTCCCCCTCTTCCCCTGCCCCTGGTCTGGCGGGTCAGCTCTGACAGATACAAGGAATGGTTATGAAAGGAGAGGGTCACTCTCTCCTGGGCACCTGTCCCCTGAGATGCAGCACTTGAGGTGTTGGGCGTCTGATCTCCTTCAAGGAGTGGGAAACAAGGCCATCAGATCCCCAACTGGGTCTGAATGCATGTGTGCAGACACCAGTATGGTAATGGGGACCACTGTGGCCCAGCTCCCTGTAGCAGTAGCCTGCTTGCAGGTACCTTGTGTCTGTCACCCTCGAGTGGGCATTGCATGTCTTCAGCGCTATTCTCTTACTGTAGAGACGCTTCTGCTGCATGAGCACATGAGCTACAAACAACACACAGTTCCCCTGTGTGGTGGATCCAGATAATTGGAAACACTCTTGATCTTGGATTCTGGCCTCTGGTTTAGGCTCCTTAGGGACCTGCAGGGTGCTGTGGGAACCATGCTCCAGCCCACCCCTGGGGTCCACGCCCTCGGGGTCCTGAGCATTGACATCTGTGTCTAGGATCTGAGCTATAGATGCTTTGAAACAATTTAAAGTCTTTATGGGAGAGGACTTTGATGAGATGCCTGCATTTTCACCTAGGCTTCCTGAATCTTGGCTTCCTTTAAAAGCTCGCTGTCTCTTCATTCAGCCTTATTACCCCCGCCATTCTTAAGCTGTGCCAGAGACCCAGAATTTGGGCTGCACTTTCACCAGTCCATCCTTCAGCCATATTTAATTTTTGAGGCTTCTTGGTAGTACAGGGTGAACCATAGCAATAGTGGAGCCCTCCTTCCTTGACAGGCTTCCAGCCCGGGGCTCTGTGTCCTTGGCTTGTTCAAGGCCTTCCCAGTGTGAAAGTCATGATGTCTGAACTCTGTCCTTCTCTGTGGCTGGGTGGCTTGGTGGTGAGAGGGATCAGTCTGAAGATCTTGTGATTGAAGGATTATTCATCCCTTGGGAGATGGGGTCTCATGCATATTGTGTAGTTACGAGCAAAGAATGTGGGTTTTCAAAAAGCCAGCATCTCTCCTGTCTCTGCTCTGTCGCTGGACATGAGGCTTTTCGGTTGAATCTGGAATCCCTGCCAGGCTGGGTGTGGGAAGGGTCTGGGGTGTGTCCCAGCACCTGAGCTTGGCCTCTGGGGTTGCTGAGGGAACTGGTGTGGGCTTTGTCTGACAGTTGCTCTGTGCTCTCTCCAGCAACCCAAGGAGATCTGTGCACTGGTCGGGTTCTGTGATGAGGTCAAGGAAGTGCCCATGCAGACTCTGTTCCCGGCCAGAGTGGCCAGCAAGAAGGTCCTCTCTTCCCTGGAGCTGGTGGAGCCCCTTGAGGTACCTGGTGTCCTGATTTTGCAGGGGCTGGGGCTGCACAACACCCTGCCCCACCATTTTGTGTCACATCTATGAGTCACATGCTTTTTTGGGTTCCCTGCCTGGCTCCTAAAGGTCTTGGCATTTGGGTAACCTCTAACCATGCAGCACCCCCGCACCCCCCACCCCCGCTGTTGGGAACACATTTCATTTCTTTGGTTTTGCAGCAGGCCACTCAGGTGCCTGGCTCCAGCCTAATGTTTCACACAGACTTCTGTGGCCACAGCACAAACTCAGTGTTCCCAGGGCGCCCTTCCTGGGGCTCAACCTGCTGCCTGTGCCTGTGTGTGGGTGTACATGCTGTTACCTACGTCTTCTTCCTTGGGAATGAGCCTGCTGCTCCATCCCATGATGAGTTTGTGTTCAGCTCTTCAGGTAGTGATCAAGGGCTAGGTGAATAATTGATGTCCTTGGGCTCATGGGCCTGGCATCCTGTCCCTTTGGGCCCAGCCATCTGATGCCTTAACACAGGGCACAGACACTTCTTGTTGTAGAACATCCAAGGCACCTGACCGTCTGCCATCTCCTGTCTCCTTCACATGCCAGTGCGGGTGGACACAAGAAGGGTGAGGTGTCAGGTGGAGTAAGGGGGCACTCCCTCCTGCTCCAGAGGTGCCCAAGGCCCCAGCCTACCCTGTCTGCCGAGATCATGGCTAGAGAATAATATGCTGAAGGTCATAGCTTGTGCTACCAATGGAGCATGATTAAAGCTTCCGTTCCTTGGTTAGTTACACCAGCTACATTGAAGTGCTTAGTAGACACGTGTAGCTGGCGCCTCCTGTCCTGGACAGAAGGGGTGGAGAATGCTTGCAGTGTCACAGAAAGTTCTGCCTAATAGCATTGCTTTGTTAAAGGTAGGTTCTAGAACAGCAGTTGTAGGTGCTAATGGAACTTGGGATGGTTGAGAGCAGACCTGAAATGTGTTTATAACTCTGCCTTTTTTTTTTTTGTACTGGTGATCGAACTCAGGACCTTGTGCTTGCAAGGCAGACACAGGGCCACTGAGCTAAATCCCTGGCTTACTTCTGCCTTCTAAGTAGTAGACGGATGCTGAATCTCATTCTGTTCTTGCTCTGCTATCCATGCAAAAAGAGCTGCATAAAAATGAGTAACAACACAATGTGGACAGCTCCTTGTGTGGAGAGCGGGGGGGGGGGGATGATTGCTGCCTCCTGAAGTGTGAATTCCTGGGGTTTTCTTAGGGGGTAGGTGGAACTAGGGAGTAGGGGAATGGAGGAAAGGGATAATCCCTCACTGTGTAACAGTCAGGAATTGAATCTGGGGATTGGGAGGGAGCCATGCATCATTTTGGATCCAGTAGGCAGTGGCCCTTGGTGTGACACTTAAGTTGCCCCAGTCCCTGTGTCACCTTGCCTTAGAGGAGCAGGACCCAGGGGCATGCGTCCCAGCATTAAAACATTCGCTGCCTTTTCAACAGCGGGAGCTGGTCTGGGCCCAGGAGAGTGTCACGTGCGAGGCGTGTGTGTACGTGGTGAAGAAGGTGGTCGAGTTGATTGACAACAACAGTACTGAGGTACTCTGCCCTCCTCAAAGGGGGACCCTGTGCTTGTCCCCCAGAGTCAGAAGGCCCTGGTGGGAGAGGGGGATTTGGGCCCTGCTGATTTTTTGTGGTGCTGGGGATGGAAGCCAGGGCCTGGTACTTGCTAGGCAAGTACTTTACCGCTGAGCTGCACCCCAGCCCCAGGCTGAGAACATGCACAGCCCTGTCCTAGCTCCACCTGTGGACCAGTGGTGTGCAAGGGTGCCTTCGCCCTGCTTGTCGCTGTGGGGTTTTCCAGGGGAGGGAGAAGCACCTCACCTCACTGTTTGCCAGTCTTTCCCCCCCCCCGCCCAGCCTTCTGTCTTAACAGGATCCTCTTAACGTGTTTCAGGCAAAAATCATCCATGCTCTGGACAGTGTATGCTCAGTGTTGCCTGCGTCTATGTCAGAGGTGTGCGAGGAAATGGTGGAAACGTACGGCACCTCCCTCATGTCGCTCCTTCTGCAGGAGCTGAGCCCCAAGCAGGTGTGCATTGAGCTCCGCCTCTGTATGTCTGGCAAGGGCCGCCTTGGCCAGCCCAAGCTGCCTGCGCTGCGCAGACTGCACTTGCCGGCTGGTGAGTCCTGGACTCGGCAAGGGAGTGGGCTCCTCTGGGGTCTGGGAGGACCCTGCCCACACTCAATCCTATGCCCTGGTGTGTAGCACACGTGGCTCCGCTTAAGGATGGTGTCTTCTGCGAGATGTGCAAGAAGCTGGTTGGCTACCTGGAGCACAATCTGGAGAAAAACAGCACCAAGCAGGAGATCCTGGGTGCACTGGAGAAGGGCTGTAGCCTCCTGCCTGACCCCTACCTGAAGCAGGTATGAAGGCTTGGGTACTTGCTGCACTGCCCCTTGCTGGAGGCTGAGGGACAGCAGCTGCTGCTGCCCCAGGCCTGAGATCCAGGGTGTTTGTTTCACTTCTGGGCTCACAGGGGACAAAGATCCTGGGCTGCTGAGGCCAGGTGGGGTGTGAGGGGCTGGGAATGACAGGGAGTGTCTAGTGCCTGCCTGGCCTCTCATGGCCCTGCTCTGCTGGGATGCACGGAGACCTGGACATATACCCATCTGGTTCCCTTGGCAGTGTGACGAGTTTATGAGACAGTATGAGTCCTTGCTGGTGGAAATCCTTGTGGAGGTCATGAACCCATCCCTTGTGTGCCAGGTAAGCTTCACAGGCGAGTGCCTGCTCCCCGGCACTGTCACTTGGGAGGGCCTGCCCTGCCTAGATGGCTCCCAAGCCTGATTGTGGCTGTGGGGTGGAGTGTGGGGAGCCAGGAGAGCAGGGTGCCAGGCCTCTGGGTTCCTGCTCTCTACAGCAGCCCTCCGTGGTCTGGGTGCTTTGATTCCAGCTGCTTCTGGATATTATCCTCAGTTCTGAAAGGGATCATTTAAGAGGTTCTAATTCTTCCCTTTTTTTACAATACAGAAAATTCAAGCCTGCCAGTCTGCCCGGAAGCTTCCCTTGGGAACTGAGAAGTGTGTGTGGGGCCCTAGCTACTGGTGCCACAACATGGAGACAGCAGCGCAGTGCAATGTGAGTGCGGTGACCCCGCCCCATCCCTACCCTAGTTAGTGTTTACTGTCCCTCCCTATAAAACTGAGGCTCACTGAGGCTCACTCAGGCCTGCCCAGTGAAGGCAGAGCTGACTGCATTCTGGTCTAGGAGGTGAAGCAGGGTAGATATTTCTGCTTTCCTGCTCCAGCTCCCTTGTGACAGTGTTAGGTCTGCATGGGGTCACACCAGGGATTGCACAGAAAGAGCCCTGGGATTCATGAGCATCGAGTCCTCTTGCATCCCCATGGCACACTGGGCCTTGCTGGAGCCTGGCCTGAATCTTCACTTGAGGTCAGATGGAGCTGTTCTCCTGTCAGCCCTGCTGAGCAGCTCCCTGGTGCCACAGCAGTCCTGGCTGCACAGCCACCAGTTAGAGGTGGCCGGTGCTGCTTTCCTGGGTGTGGACTTTGGGCCTAGAAAAGGCCAAATGTTACTTAATGTTGCTTTGAGCGACTTCTCCTTCCTCCCTGAGGTTCCTTGTGACCCCACCAGGGGAGATTAGTCATTGTGGCCACTGCAGGGAAGGGCAGAGGCCCACACCCTGCTGAGTGCAGGCCACTGCCCGAGACGTGAACTGGAACCTGCCCTGGCTATTGGATGCACTCTGGCCCTGTGCGGGCCAAACAGCAACAGGCTGGGGCTGGTGTGTGATAGAGGCCCGGGACCCTTCCTGTGGGGGGCCCATCTAGAGAGTCCCCAAAGCTCTGCCTGCATCTCCCTGCTTTTTAGAGAGGTCCTGTCTTGGGCCCTCAGCATCTGGTGGCACTCAGCAGACCTAGGGAAAGATTCCCAGTCCTATTTTTGGGTGATACATGAATGGGCCAGGAAAGCAGTTTGTCATCTGAAGCCTAAACCTGGTTTCCTCTCTCCCACCAGGCTGTGGAACATTGCAAACGTCACGTGTGGAACTAGGCCTCCTTCCTGGAGAAACTGTAGCACCTTTCCTCCTTGTGTGTCTGGGATAATGAGCACACAGATCTGTATGACTTTGTTACAAACTAGGTTCCTTCCCTTGACCCCCATTTCTCTCCCTCATTGTAGCATTGCTGTCACCATGGAGGCACTATAGCCGCTTTCAGTGTCCTCTGTATGCTGGAAGGCTGAGGACACACTGGGCTGAGGTCTCACCTGCCCTTGCATGGCACCTGCTGGGGGAGTTCTCAGTGCCGGCTGGGACCGTCTCCCAAGCCCTGAGAGGTGCCCGGCTCTGGGGTCACCTCCTACCCTACAGAGGGACAGTCCCCCTTTCCCGCTGCCAAACAAAGGCAGTTTCATATGAAAGATTAGAAGCTCAGCATAATTAGGTTTTGAAAGTAACACAATCTTCTCTGTACTAGCACAGAGTTTGGGAGTAGCTGTTGGTGGTTCAGAGGACACTGGTGGGCAGCAGGTTTGCTGTCCTGGGTCAACCTTTGATTCTGCTTTCCTGTCTTTTCCTATGGATGCCTTGTTTGAGCTTCTAGGGGTAGGGTGGGGCGGGGAGGGGCAATTGCCTGACCGTAACTTGCTGGCTGTGCTCAGGGCCCATAGGCCTGGCTTTTGTGTGAGGCCTTCGCATAGTGGTGACCACTGTCTGCTCATTCGTGTGTTGCTGCTAGGGCCCTGCCTTGTGCTCGGCATCCCCTGGCCCCCCTTCCCTTTCAAATCCATGTGGATGACAAGCTCCTAAGCCTCTGCCTGGTAGAGGGTGACAAGCTGAGGCACCTGCAGGGTGGGTACTGGCTGGGTCTTGGCTGCTGCCTGTCTGGTCCCTGAAGCTTCTCTTCCATTTCTGGTTGCCAGGAGACTGCAAACAAAGCCAGCAAGCCAGCCACTTGCTGTTAAATGGACTTAGTGATTTTCATTTGTTTTGCACTAAAGTTTCTGTGATTTAACAATAAAGTTCTGTTAACAAGATCCAGGGTGGACTGTTTCTATGACAGCCCTGCGCCCATGCGTTCTCCTGGCCAGGAAAGTGAAGCCCTGGGGTTGGGGAGTACCTGGGCCTCCCCCAGACCCAGGGCCAACAGCAGGTTGGGGAGCACCTGAAAGCTAGCACACAGTGGTTTACCAAAGCCAGTATATTGCTGGGTCCTTGTGAGTTACTTTTTTTTTAAACAGACCAGTCCAGAAACTTTCAGTGAGTACCATTTCAACAAAACCAAAGGGGAAATATTGAGGGAATAATTTAAAAAAGAATACACACGAACACTCTACCTTCAAAACCCAAGGGGATGCCAGTCATTTCTCTTTATAAGCTGGGTGCATTGGGGAAGCCAGTGAGATGGAGAAAGTGCTCGCCTGTTGCCATTGACCTTGGCTGTATGGATGGAGGGCAGGGGTCACTCGGGGCTGCACCTGGACGTCCAGTGGGGAGATGGCAGGAGTGTGGCAGGCCAGTGTGGGTGCCGCTGGGCTTCTGCTCCGGGGGGCCGGGTGGACTTGGATGGAGTAGGGAGGGAAGGGCCTCCTTGGCCTCCGCTCAGCGGAGCCAGGCCTCAGACTCTTGGGCCCCAATAATCCTCCTTACCATGTCCCTAAACTCTTAGCATTTTTGTTCAATTTTCATAAAAAAATAACATCTTATGAAGGTAGAGGTCAGATGCTGGTGTGCATCTGGCAGAGTGGAATCCGAGCAGCCATGTCGGCCATCAGGGCTGACCGAAGGCTGTCTGCAGAGCCGGCCTGAGAGGGCCTGGATGCGGCTCCTGCCCCGAGGAGCTGCTCTCGGCTGCAGTCACAGCTCTGTGATCTCCAGGGGGCTCTCCATGATCACGTCTCGGAGCTTGTGCAGGGGTGTGGATTTGGCGGACTCTGTGCGGGCGTTGCGCTCAAAGGCGGTGGCCTCTGCAGTGGTCAGTGTCTCCAGTGAGTGGCCCAGGCCCTTCTGGTCATCCTCGGGCAGGCTGTTAAGGTCGGTGGCCAGCAGTGTGCCTGTGCTGCCATGCACCACGTGGATCCCATCGGGTCCCTTGAGCTCCATGGGTGGCTTATGGCGGAAGCGCAGACTGCCCTGGCTTGGGCTGTGGTCCCCTGGCTCCTTGTCCAGCTCCGTCTGGATCAGCTGCAAGAGGCCAGGCCCTCCCAGTGGCTCAGGAACCCCCACAGGCTCAGGGTCACGCCCAAGGGTTGAGCAGGTGGGTGGCCCCAGAGTCCTACTGGGTGTGCACCTGCTTCATCCCTACTTCACACAAAGAATGTCCCAGCAGGCCTGCTGGCCTCCAACCCTGCCACAGGGAATCTCAAGGATACCTTCAGACTGCTGCAGAGGGGAACTTCGGACAGTTAAGGTGCTACCCTGAGTCCTAGGGAATATGGGCCTTCTCTGTGAAAATCTTATCTTTATATATTAACATTGCTCTGACATCTGCGTTTGTAACCAAGCTGGCTACAAGTATGACCAATACAGTCACATCTAGGTAAAACAGGTCCTCAGGAGAGGGGGAAAGGGACAAATAGGATGTGGTCAGGACTCAGCACTTTTGAACTTCTGCCAGGCAAGACGAAAGTTGACAGTGTGCACCCAGCTGGAATTTTTTTTGAGACAGTTTCTCTAGTAGCTCAGCCTGGCCTTGCACTCACTGTGTATCCCAGGCTGGCCTCAAACTCATGGCAATCCTGCCTTAGGCTCCTGAGTGCTGGGATCACAGGTGTGCACAAGTACACTGGCCGGAAGTTGGTTTTTAGATAGTCTTACTTTGATAAATTTTGACATTGCTGTAAGCACACACGCAGGCCCATTTGACCCTGACAGCCAGTTTCTTAGTGTGACACTGGCCCTCAAAGGTATTTGGGGCTCCTGGAATCTGAGAAGCACTGCCTCTGAGCTACCCCATCCCCAAGAAACCCTTTCTGGCCCAGCACTCAGTAGGCTTTGGCCCTGGCTGCTGAGCTCAGAACACTGAGGAGGGTGGCAGGAGAGAGAGAGAGCATCCCCAGAACTGGGGCACAGCACACAGCTCACCCCCCCGCCCCGCCCTCAGCTACCTCGGAGATGGAGGAGTGGCAGGAGGAGGCTTTTTGCACCATCCGCTGTGCAAAGAGCTTTTTGAGCTGCAGGTAATCCTCCAGGACCACCTTCAGCAGTGAGCCCTGGAGGAGGCAGAGGGTTAACCCCACTGGGCCCACTGGCCCCACCCCTTGCTTGCTCCCCTGGGAGGTGGGTGTACAGGCTTGGGGTCCTAGGGCAGAGGATCAGAAGGACAGCCTGGTGACAGTAGCCAGCTAGAGCCCCCAGGGGCTCAGAGCCCTGGCTGGTGCCACCCTTAGCCCTAGTAGGCGCTGCTGTGCTGACCCATCAGGGTAGATCTGAGTCCCTGCAACCTCGGGAGTGGGGTTCACTTTCAGCCAGGAGCTGGGCACAGAAGCCCCCAGGGAGGGCTCACCTTGATGGGCCCCTCGCGAATGATCTGGCCCAGCTTGGCAATGTTGTCATACTCCTGGATGGCTGCCCGCAGGTACCGGTCATCGTCAGGCTTGACCGCTGCTGGTTCACGCCCAAAGGTTCCCTGGGGAGAGAGGACATCTGCTGGAGCAGAGGACACACACAGGGTAGGGGGCCACTCCCAGAGGACCCAGCTCCTTGGCCAGAGGTGGCAAGGAACTGCCCCTCCCCCAACCCTCCCCAACACCTGCCGGAATGCCCTGCGCTGGCCCGGCTCACGTGGGTGCGGGTGGGGCTGTTCCACAGGTCAGCGATCTCACTCAGGTTCTCGGGCAGGTCATCCTCGTGCTCAGCCTGGGCAGCCAGCTCCAGATTCCGGCAGAAGGGATCCAGCCACACGGGGTTGGCTCTGCAGTTGGGGGGCAGGGAGTAGAATAGCGCTGGCAAAGAGGAAGGGCAGGATGAACAGATGTCCTCAAAATTGGATAGCTCCTTGCTGATGGCACCTGTGGGTGCATTCTCCTCTAGGAGCCCACTAGAGCCAGGACCATGTGTCAGTCTGGACAGCTTTGGCATGGAGGTTTCAGCTTGCCTCACCTTTCACCCAGAACCCAAAGTCTGTGCCCCTTGGAATTGGGGGCTCAACAGGTCCGGGGTCTAGCTCTGCAAAGCAGTTTCCCAGGTGGGGTGTGAGGGGTGGTTAGCCCACCAGGGGGCGCTCACGCCCTGGGTTTCCACAGGGCCTGGACGCTGCCAGAGACTGGCTGAAGGGTCAGGAGCCCACTCACCCATCAAAGGAGTACTTGTTAGTGTTGGGCATGTCCATGATGTCGATGAAGCCACGGTTCCCTGCAGGAAGAAGGGCTGACGTGTGGAGGGGAAAGGAGGGGTGCAGCCAGGTGAGGCACCCTGCCCTCTCCCTGCCCCACCACCGCAGCCCACACTCACCTGCAGAACCCGCCACAATGGCTTTGAGCTTCCTCTTGTGTCTGCAGAGAAGCACAGAGAGGCGCTGTGAGGCACTGGGCTTACATCTCAGAGCCTCAGCCCTGGCTCGGGACAGGGGCAGGACACTCACACGGTCCTGTAGTACCAGTTCATGAGGATGAACAGCATGGCCGCCAGGAAGAGGAGGATGGCCAGCACGATGATCGCCATCTGTAGGGTGAGCAGGCCGGGCATGAGCAGGTGGGCTCCGGGCAGAGCCCAGACCCCAGGGAGGGCAGTGACGTGGGTACCTGCAGGGCAGACATGTCATCAGGCAGCCGAACGGAAATGGCGGGCTGCACGTCCAGGACGTTGTAGTTCCGGAAGAGATTCCGCAGCTGCTCCTTGTTCTCATCGATCATCTGGATCACCCTGGATAAGTGGCAGGGCTCTTTCAAACTCAGCCCTCACCCAAGAGCAAGCAGCCAGGACGGCTGCTGCCTGCCTGCCTCAGCCCCCGGAATTCACCTCTCCCTGAAGCTGAGCAGGTGGAAACCTCACCCTGCTAGGATACCTCGATGGCTTCCAGGGGCCCCAGGCCTTCATCCAGGTCCCATTTGGTCCTCACGGATGGGGGTACTCCCATTTCACAGATGGGGAGAGTAAGGCTCAGAGGGACCTGATGGTACCTGGGCCTCCTTGGTGGGTCCCCTCCCCAGTGCCAAGCACAGGCCCCACCCACCGGTCCACATCCAGGATGCGGTTGGTGTCACGGTTCACCACGTGGATGAGCAGCTCTGTCTGTGCGAAGTTCACCCGCCCCTTCTTGTCCACGTGGAACTAGGAGAGAAGGGACACTGGGGGTGTGGCCACAGGCCAGGGGCCAGGGGTGGGGAAAGCTCCAAGAAGCCCCGATACCCTGCCTTGCAGTGGACCTAGCACTACTGGATGCTCACAGGGGCCCAAATGTGGTGCCAGTCGGTTCACCCCCACACAGGCACAGGTACTATTACCCATTTACAAGTGAGGAAACTGAGGCCCAAAGACCTGGGAGAAAGTCCTTAGAGCCACACTGCCAAAGCTGGGGAGGCACATACCCTCTTTTGTGTCCCTGACCTCACTACCATGCCCTTATCCTCATAGTCTGGCCCCCTTCTCCTTCCACTGCCCCTAGTCCAAGGTTGGTCCCCTGGGCACCTGCACGTCATCGGTGTTGACAATGGCGCCAGTGATGTTGGACAGCAGGCGGATGAACTCCTCCTCGAAGCCCCGCACACGATCAGGGATCTCGTTAATGACGATTTTCACGCGCTGGTCGTCCCTCAGAATGTAGATGCCAATGATGGCCGTGTCGTTGTGTCCTGCCAGGTCTTGGGCCATGATGTCCACCACGAAGTAGCCAGGGCTGTAGGCCATGAAGAGGTCAAAGGTGCGCAGGATGCCATCCACGCTCCCTGCAGGAGGAGCCGAGAGCAAGGCACAGCTCAGGGACCACCCAGTCCTCCCCACTTGCCCTCTCAGAAGGGGCAAGAGCCCTGGGATGTGGGGACCCCGGGGAGGTGGCACACATTTGCCCACAGGGTTCAGCAGCAGGAACGCAGAGAAC